CCTGTATATCTATCCCTACAGTTGTACTGTCTTTAATGATGTTGATCGCGTCTTCGATGTATAGATTAAAAAGTAGCGGTGACAGTGTGCATCCCTACCTAATTCCCTTCCTAATATTTACTTCTCTACGTTGCAGCCCCAGCTATATAACTGCCTGTTGCTCTTTATACAAACTAAATATCACTCTTCTATCCTTGTAATTCATCCCTACATTTTTAAGCATATTTAACATCTTGTCCCATTCAACATTATCAAAAGCTTTTTCTAAATCTACAAATCCTATGTACGCACTCTTTCCTTTTTCTATCGTTTTCTCTATTGTTACCCGTAAAGCTAGAATGGCCTCCCGCGTTCCTCTATTTCTTCTAAACCCAAACTGATATTTCCCTAACAGTTTTTCCGTCCATTTTTTTCTGCACAATTCTAGTTAAGATTTTTCACGCATGGGAAGTTAAGCTAATTGTTCTAGATGTTTCGCACCATTTACCTATACTGTAATGAAAAGCATCTTTGGGATTAACTTCAACTGCAATTTTCTCATTTGCGAAGCTTTTGACATTTAGCCCTTTTAGCTCCAAGACACGAACATAAGGAGTCATGCATATTTACAAACATATCGTATCTAAATGACTTGATATTAGGCATTAAAATTTGTACATCATTAAACCCATAATGTCTTACTTTATCTTATGAAATTGAATTTCATTTCTCAAATTCTTATCATAAACTCAATTAGTTTTAGATACTTACTAATTGTCGAATGTCATCGATTATTAATGTTCTCAATCCTTACAATTAATTATCACATGACAGAGTTGTAATTGAAAAGTAATTATTGAAATGGCTTTTTTATGTTACCATTTACAAAAATAGTGATTAGAGTAATGAGAACATTTTAAAATCTCTAATAACCAGCGATTGGAAATAAAATAAATAAGTTTCTTTGCACGACTTGCACCCTGAAAGTAGATAAGTAGGTACTAAATAATTTAAAATTTCCATGAAACATAGAACACACAAAATGGTAGTTGTTATGGTCAGGTCTATCCATTTGCTTACAGGAACATGGAGATAGGTGTGCTTTTCAGCTAGTTTATGGTGACAGAGGTTTCTATGTTTAGCCTGCGTGAAGTGCTACTCTAATTTAGGCTATGGTGAGGGACAATTATCTGCCTAGCTTTTGTGGAGTGATATGCAATGTTGGTTTTAAGTTTCAGTATGTTGCGGAAAAGGTTTTCCAAATTGGCATGTAGCTGAACTATTCAAACTAACTGAATTAAGATTGCACTTCGCTAATCAATAGTTCATAGCAAATGTTTATAGGAATATTGAAAAACATACTAACAATGAACCTCGAAATCGTTCGTTTCTGAATTCTACTGTTTAACACATTAAACGCCATTCAGTTCAAAAGCAATAATTGTAGTAACCATTAGGTTGGGTTGAATTTGGCAATGCCAGGCTAAGTTAACCTTGGTCAGAAACATATGAATCATATAGCATACATTTATAGTTCTAGTTTCCGCATCTACATCAAATTTAATTGCAATCAAAAGAAAGGTAGAGGCAGTAAAGACTGTTAGGAACATTGACTACTTTCACTACGAGGGATTACATTCACATACGAGGCTGTTTCAGGGTAGGCTTCTTTGTTGATTCGACCTGATTATTAATTTCTACATATTCTACATTTGTAGTAATTTATTAATATTAAAACAGTTTTTGCATTGATTTAGTTTAGCTATACTAGTTTTCAAGGACGTCCCATCCTCAGCCCTAACACTGGGTGGACATGCACCTATACTTTTTCTTATCCTGGGCTAATTTTCGGATTTCTCTAAAACTCTCTCTCTCATCCTTAACCATTTGTGAACAGTAATCTAATCTACGTCTACCTCTACTCCTCTTAATCCCTGCTTCTGCTTCTAATATACCTGTGACCTGCCCTTCATGCCTGAGAAACCTAACATTCCTACTAACCTATCTCGTCTATTTTTTATTGATTTCTACAAAGTCATATGCTCTCTTATTCTTTCTAATACCTCTCCATTTCTAACCTTCTCTGTCCACGGAATCCTCATCATTCGCTTGTAACACCACATTTCGAACGCTTCTAACCGTTCTACCGTGCATGTTACGCACCCGTACAGCGCCGCGCTCCAAGCATACATCTTTAAGAATCTTTTTCGAATTTCTAAATTAATCGTTCGCGGGCATAGAAGTGATTTCTTTTTATTGAACGCGACTCGACCCTGCGCTATCCTCTGCTTTATATCCCTACTACTCCTTCCGTCCTGACTTAACTGACTTCCTAGATACTTACATCAGCTACGTCTTCTAGTTTTTCATCTCCTATCATTATATTCGCTCTTTTCCTACTTTTTCTTCCCCTACATACCAGTAGTTTTATTTTTTTTTAGAGACATCTAAAGAAATTTGAAAGCTTCCGATTCGGGTAGTAATTAACACTCATCAGGAGCAAATGTCCTTGTTGCGTAATATACATAGATACTATTTTATCTATTGAGGTATTGTACAATACATAGTGTGATGACTTACCGTCAACATTATGCCTCCTTGTCTTCTAGTGCATGTACCTATTGTGTAGTTACCACGACCGTAATAATAATAATAATAATGGAAACAATGACACTCCTTTAGATTACTACAAACGACACGTCGCCTTCATGCAGGGCTCGAAACGAACGATCACGGCTTTCTACTCAAAAGAATTCAACTCCTGTTATCGGTCCCACTTCACCTCAACAACATATACACGTCCTTTACTTAATATTCACTACACACAAGTTCCTGTGCGACCGGAATCTATACTTCGTTGTTGTATTCTTTTTTGTTCTTTTGAATTCCTTCCCCGCTGATGTTCGTCGACGAATTCGAAACGAAAGGACAAGCTCGACTTGTTAAAAACAATCCGAATGTGTTCATCGCCAAGCGTTACCGACAACTGAAGAATTCTTGAAACGCTCTGGGAATAAGGTGAAAGGTAAATCTGCAGCGGGGATACCGCTACAACTTTAATTCGATACTTACTTACAAACCAATACTTAGAAGTGTCATTCAATAGACCTGTTACCAATAGTAATAGTAGTAATAATAGATTTAGACTATTTAAAGCGGATAAGGCCATTTGGGCACGAAACCGTTTAAGGCAACTTAAAACTGGACTACTGTCGTAGATTAGCATGAGCGAGCAAGGAACACCGAGCAGAAATTACAGAAATCTGAGATCCGCCGTTCTGGAACTAACTGTGCTTCCTACGATATCCAGGATGTTGTCCTTTAAACAAAATTCTTAATGAAAAATCACCAATCTTTTATCATGTTGGACTTATTCCAAATGCCCGCCGAAGGAATCATTAGGTGCTATCCTTCCAAATTTAGACGGATTATACTAGTAAACAAAGTAATAATTCAATTGCATTCCAATGAAAAATTTCCTGATATTAAGATAACGTCAACTGATTAGGTGATCCGTCAAGGTTTTCTACCGTTTGTTAGTTGCAATTTGGTTTGATACGTTAAATGAAATTAAAACAATTATTTATTTGCAATTTCTTCGTCCTACTTTAGGACTACCTATATCGTCAAAATTAAAGACAACATAGGTGCAAAAATGGGTTTATTTAATAAAGTAACATTAAAAATGTAAGCATGAGATTCAAAGATAGAAGACTGATACATAGTTTGTATGAGCAACAAGGGTTGAGCAGCAACGTGATTAGGTTAAGAAGACAAGGATGCACACTGTCACTGGTATTATTTAATCTATACATCGAAGATGCGATCAACATCATTACAGACAGGGGTAAAAGATTAGTATGCTTAGATTTCCATATGACATAGCAGTATTAGCAACTAGCAAGGAGGAGTTAGGAGAGAGATAGCTTTAAATAAAATGGAAGCGAAATTACAAAACAGTACTGCATGAAAATAAATAAAAGTAATGATGATGATACTGTGGAAGGAGAAGGTTAGAAATGGAATCAATAGGAGAGATAAGTTGGTAGGATACCTTCTTAGGCATGAAGGGATAATTAGAGATATTAGACCAGATACAGAACTTGACAGGAGTAGAATTAGACGTAGATTAAATTACTCATCATAAATAGTTAAGGATGTGGGATGTTCTAGTTTTAGAGAAATCTAAAAGTTAGCCTAGGATAAGAAAAAGTAGAGGTGGGTGTCTAACCAGTCTTAAGACTGACGACCTTATGATGATAAAGCATAATATACTAGAAGTAAAAATGATTAAGGTCTCCTCAAAAAAAGCAGAAAGGTGTATGAAGACCTTGGAGCTTAAACCAGACCTTTCGCAACTTAGTCTGTCTATTACAAAAAGGAATTATACATATAAATAGATTCTAATGCGTAGTTTATACTAACTTGTTAGAGTGGGGTTAATTAACTTTTGATAAGAGTAGAATTAAATATCTAGGACTTTAAGTAAACATTGGTTCAATTGTCTTATCTTATTGCTAACATATTTCGACACACACACACATTAAGTATTAAAGAAATAAAAGAAAAGTTAATTTGTTAAGTTATACTTCAGTATCTTAGTCTGGATGAGANAAAAAAAATTGCTGTTTTTTTCAGGGTAGATGAAGAGCTGTCTTCTGAATATGAAGCCAAAAAATCACACTCGAAATTCGTCGGGGTGCAATTTTTTATTTTATTGCGCAAAAACCTGAGGGGGTAATAAATAAATATGGCAATTTTTTCTTATAGTGGGCACTGGAACGTAAAATATAAAAGAAATTTCCGAAAACCAAAATAAATAGAGAAGCATCCCTATTTCAAGACCACCCCGAAGGATTTCGGGTGTGATTTTATGTTCCATACTCAGGAGGTAGCCCTTCTTCGACCCTTAAAAAAACCGCCTCTCAGAAATATTTTTTGCACCATCCTATGATACTGTCTAGTTTTTCTGGAATAATATCACACACTAGTGGAAGAGATACGAAATTGAATTGATATCTACCAAAACCGAAGGTGAGGATGACAAACTGTAGTTAAGGGTTGCCGTAGTTTCCTCTGAGGGTCCTCTAGGACGTCTTAACATATCTTTGGTCCGAAAATACAATGTTTCCCGATTACAACGACCACAAAATGCAACATAATCACTCAGTTAATAATCTGAGAAATTGTTATTTATTAGAAAAATATTTTACCATCCGCAGGGCGGAATATGACTAAGGTGGAAGTGGAAATCACACCAAGGATAATAAATATATTCCTAATAAGGAATAAGTGGAAATAATTCTTACCTAGAAGATTATGCTGCTGAAATTAGGGAAAAATATCGTACTTTCAATAAGGGTATAGTAAAAGAGATGTTTCTACATTCTTTGTTTGGTATTAAATTGTACAAATTAATGTTGTTGATATTGTTTACTAGCAAAGACTTTTGAATAAAAAATGTAGTTGACATATTGGTTCAACAGTCAACCAACTATAACTTGTTCATGCTCGTAAATTACAGGTAAGTAATACACTGGACAAAAAAATCGCACACAGGAATGTCTGATTGAAAACAGATCACGTGGCATACTATTATCGTGAATATCAAAGACAAAGTACAAGATTACGTATCTAACATTTGCCGCACGTTTGTTAAAAGATGAAATTCTTCTTGTACAATCACTTACAGTAAATAAGAAAAGAACAAGGATATAATTGAAAGCTATTTTAAGAATCGGAACTCGTTTGTTTTTTTCTAATTGTTGGGTGCATTTGCTTCCCTGATGCGTATCAAAAGAAAATTATCCTTTCAATTAATGAAAAGTTATTTTTAAAAACAATTATTTTATTAAGTAACTACAAAAGCTTAAAATTGAAGCAGGCGACTTCTCTAATCGAGAGACTAATAAGAAGTAAACAATTTCATTATTACATATTAGAAAGATGCAACACTAATACCAAAAAATGCATAATCAGTAAAATACGTTCTCACGGTAATATCTCACACTCGTTGTTTGTATATTGGTTCAAGGACATAACTATGTCATGGAGGAAGGTCATCTGATGTTTAGCACCTGCGAGGGGTTTATTCATCGTTTTTTGCTCTTTAAAAGTGTATGAATTCAAAACGTGGAAGTGTTTATTAATTTTGGAAATAAACACTGCAGTTGCCATCGCCGTTGCAAGAAGTTCATTTAATGCAATGTATGTGTTTTAACTAGCAGCCACAGTGCTACACATAACTTGAGCTGCTTACTTCCATCCGCTCGAAGTTGTTGGGATGTATGTGGCTATCTGTTAATTCAGGTGCCAACTGAAAAGTTTGTTGCTTGTCTCTAGTATAAAAAGGTTCAAGAAAGGCTTTATTTATGTTGCCTTCCTCTATAGAAAACGTTTTATCAAAAAATTGATTTCGTGTTGATTTTAATAAATGAGGAGTGTCAAATAAAAAAAAATTGTCTCACCGTTAATCTTAAAATAATTTTTTTCAGGACTTACACACCTAACTTACTGGATAATTTAATAAAATTTGATCTTTGATCTGTAATAAATGCTGCTACATCTAATCCAATGTCTCGCAGTTTTACAATGGAAGTTTCGATAATCTTATGCAAGTCATCCACTGGACAAGAATCATTAATTAAGAAATATGCAATCGGTTGCTTCCGATTTACATGAATACCCCTTATCATTAATACTAAAGCACTATTCGTACAATCGAATCCAACAATTCTGTCCTTACTTGTGTTGTAAAATAAATTTGTTTTTAAACTAACTTCATCAGCACAAACTCCACAGTTCTTTGCCAAATCCGTCATGTATCCACTTTATTTTTCACAACACTAAAAATAAAGTTATTTAGTGCTGGTGTCGCTTCCCATTTGCTGGTTATTCTGCAAAGAGTTGATTTAGATGGCAACCAAAAATATTTTTACTAAACTGCTTAAACTTGTTTGTGTATATAGATCCTTGTGGGTGTCGTTTTCCCAACTGCAACTGCATTTTAATGAAATTTACAGTTCCCTCATTGCAATTTTCTTCACAATATTTTATAACATCTTCTTCTTCAAATGTTTTCTGTCGAATATCCTTTAGCGATTTTTGAAGAAATTTGGCCTCCTTTATAAGCTTCCTCTTTATTGGGGGTTTGTGAAGCCACATGACCTAAATCTAATATATTTATTAGATAATGATACAATCACAACGAATTAGGTAGGTAAACAAATCAATTTACCTTTGTCAACTTTTGAGCTGCCTGGTTCTGCATAAGGTACATTTTCTTTTTCTTGTATTATATTTGCTGCTGCACTTTCTGCTAATAAAACAATTTTAATTACACGAATTATATCAACATTGTCCACAAAGTTTTACCTTGTAATGGGCCCACATGCTTGCTACTATTACCTACAATTCCTTCTTCAGTAGCAGTTCTGATGTCTGCAATTCACATGATACAAAATAAGCAATGTTGAGTTAAAGGACAAATATGTAAATTTGACATGTATTACTGATTTAATACACATTAAAAAATACCAATACGTTTACATAGATACAAGGACGGAAATGCTTCAGGGGTTAGTCGGTTCTTTTTGTTATTTTTAAAGAATCCGTCTTCAAAATGCACCATAAACTCCCTACATTTTTGTAGGAGCCATCTGATAAATCCGCTCTACCAATTTGATTAATCACAATGCTCCTCTGCAAATTGCACAAACATTTATTAACTTATCGGGCAAATTAAACTAATAGTAATTTGTTGCAATGTACAATATGCAATAAATATGACACAGCGTCTCCTAGCAGTAACCTGCGCAAACATACAATTTGAATAGAAGAACAAAAGCTTTCACGGCCGGAATCCATAGTCAGCGACTCACTTCAAGATCTACGTTCACGTTGTCAACGCAGCACTACCACTGAGAATGTCAGCCGCAGTAGCTGACGAAACGTCTGGACAGAATAGTTCACTTACACCACGGCCCTACAGCCCGAA